AACTGCGCTTTGCATACAGGAAAGCTGATGAGAACTCAACACTTGCAAGCAGGTAGCCAGAATGAATAAAGGTACAACCTGAATCTTATCTTTCTATGAGTGATAGCCACGCAGATTTAAAAAAAGAGCGCACAGGCGGTGCACAGTGAGACATCACAAGACGCTAAGATGTGAAGTTCACAGGCTTCATCTATGTTTCATGGCCAGATTATTCTAAGCATTTACCATCTGCGAGGTGAGGCTTAGTTCTGAACGAGCACGACACTGGTGATGATCAGCATTATCCCCGGTCAGAGGGAATCCCCGTCAAATCCCCGCATCAGCATCGAAGGCAGGAAAAAGAAGTGTGGGGAGGATTTATCAGGATTCCCTCTCTATCCCTCCCTCCATCCATCCACCCACTACACAGACTCCCCCAACAAGTCTGCTCATAAATCCAAATGGCTGTCCTTAGTGATGGCAGACAACACATATGACTCGCAAAGAACTTCTTTCAAAGGCCTGCTGCAACCTACACAACCAGAGCAAACATGAACCTTGTAGCCAAGCAGCCAAGCTTCCCAGGCATGCAGCAGTGTAAGTGTGAAGGTAAATAAAAAGGCAGTAAATCGTGACCTTGAACCAGTGCATCTATTACTATGCAAACAGCCAACAGAGATAAAGCTTTACGAAGGAAAAAAACAAATATAATTTACTCATAACTCCTTTTGACCATTTCACATCTGACAAGCCCGAGGTCATCATAAACACTGAAGATCTGCATTGTTTGTGCGCACAAGCAACACAAATGCATTTTTTTTCCAATTTATTAGATGTATATGTTCTGTGATTCTGTGTATCAAAAACTAAATGGAAACTGGTGTTTGGGATCAGCACAACCTGATTCCTTTTGTACAAGTGTTCTGTCTGTATTTCTAAATCAAACACCAATCAACATGAATCCCTGGAGTTCAGGATCATTGGCTAATGAGGGGGAAAGAACAAACATTTGAGTTTTGTAGTGTTATAAGGCTTCGAAGTATACAGTTATGCCCCAAAATGGAGATGGAACTTTTTGAAGTACCCTTGTTTGTATTAATCTATGGAACTAGAACCAGCCACTAATGTATTAGTTTAATTAGGTTCATATCCGGCAGTCATATAAATAGACTTTATAAAATGCTTCAAAGAAATAAAATCATTTAAGGAGTTATTCATTACAGAATATTAAACCTGTATTCTAAAAGTATAAAAGTTAAATTTTCATCATTTTGATTTATGGCAACCAATGAATTTCATAATTGCATTTATATTTCATGCCATTATGCATTTCATTTCATTACAGTGGTGATGTCACCTCCCTCTCTCTCTTTCCAGCCAATCACATGCCTCCCGCCTCACAAGTAAACAAGCTTAAACTGTTTTCCACTGTTGCCAACTTACTCTGACAATAGATTTAACAACTTTTTATGGTTCTTTGTTGTCGAAGCATTTACAAAGGTTAAGGCTGCCTTAAAACAGCCCACAAGTTCCTGCAGTGGAAAACGGCTGAATGTCACAAACAAGTCACAAAAAACTGACCCGCTAGTTTAGTGGGTTACACAGAGAATTTGAGAAGGGTTGTCAGGCTGAGCCTTAAAATCTAAAGGGGTTTAGTTACTGTCCGTGAGTTGTGTTTATTTCCAGGAGAAGTCTAGATGACTGATCACGAGTTGGTTTGCCACTGCTAACCAGCAGCTAACAGGTTCAATTTAGTACCAGTTGTTCATTGATATAGACATGTAGATGGTCTATAGGAGGTTGTTAGATGTGTCTCTAGAGCTGCTACATTACAGTAGGGTCCTGGAAAGTGGAAATAATCGAACGTTGTCTTAAAATTTACTGCTACAAACATGCTGAATTTGATATATATACATAGATATCTATTTAGATAGCTATATCAGGCAAGCAAAGCTAATTTGGTGCATTTTTATTCAACCAAAAACAGCAAAAACAGTTGTGATTAAACCTTTTACATGCATTAAGCAACATGAAGGCAGAGTTGACGCATCACTGCAATCAACAAGCGCAGTCAGTGATGTATCTACTGTACATGTATTCACTTTATCTTTGGCAGCTGTTCAGCTTAACATAAGAGAGTCAGGGCCATGTGTTTGGATAAAAGGTGAGAGCTGTGACTGTAGACAGCACCACTATCACAGAAAGTCACATTAGGAGATAAAACATGCCACGAAAGACAAGAAACGTCTGGAAAAACACTATTACGAATTAAAAACAGACTTTACAAAAACTGCATATAGAAATTTTAAAAAATCGATAATATATATCAATAAAAGTGATCTCCACATTTTTTTTAAAATTATGACAATATGATTATGTTTCATAAAGTCTTTTTTCAAATTTTCCTAACACATATTTATGTTCTAACTCTACAAGAAGACATTTGTAAGAGGTGAAAAAGAAAGAACACCTCCAGCCTGTAGAGGATGTGTTGAACATGGAGGGCAGGTAACAGGACACTTCTCTGACGCACCACCTTTGGACACGTTTAGACCAGCTGGATGCTGAGCAAAACTCCTTCTATTTCAGAACAATGCCGAGCTAAACACAATTACTATACAGCAGATACACCTGCTTAAAGCGCTAGTTCATCCAACACACAACACATACAGTGACTGCTACAATGGATGTGACATAGTGGCATCAAGCAATGCAGCGCTGCACACACATCACAGCCACAGACAGGCCACACAGCTGGGGGTTCTCACTTCAGTCACACAACTGTGCAGTCGTTGCATTGAGTGTGCATCAAAAATGGCTTGAAAAATGTAAAAGATAACAGCATAAAGAAGCAAAAGTGAAAAGTATTTGAATTTCTCAATACTTACTCCATTGATTTAATAAGCTATTCATATGCATCTTGTGGGTGGTGGAACAAAGCCAGAGGTCTCTGTGCAGAAACTGAGGAGGAACCACATACATGCAACAACAAATGAGCAACGGCACAGACACAGGACTTCCTACAGAAACAACACATGTGGGCTGACAGGCAAGCAACACTGAAAACTAACATGAAGACTGGCAGACGACAGGGTCAGATTTCAGCAGCACATCTCTGGACAAGACATGGGACTCTGACACAGCTGACACTTGATGCATTTATGGCGAGAAAAAAAAAAAACATCTTGCACTTGCAAACAAAACTGGAGCCTTTAAAGAAAGATGCAGCAGAGTTACAAACAGACTTTTTCATTGTTAAATTGCTCAGGGACATACAGTGTGTCTGCTGAATTGTGCTACACAGATCTTTTTTTTGTTTTTTTCCCAGCCCTGTGACAGTGGTCCCCAACCTGTCTGACCTCATCACACTTTATGGCCTTAACATGAGAGGTGAGCAGTGAAACTAAAGAGGCCAGCCGAGCTACAGTTACAAGCATTTTACAAGGACAAATAAATAAGAGAATGTCCTGAAAAAATAAACAGGCTTTGACACTCATTTTGCCATATCAAGAATCTATGTCTATGCCAGAGAGTTTCCCAGCTCCACGTGTGTTGTATTGTTAGTACATTAAACACGTTTTTAAATGCTGCATTATTTGACATGTTTGGTCACTTGAGGGCAGCGACTGAAGCTGGAAACACTGACATAAGATGACGTGAGAAACATGTAAGCAAAGACTTTCCTATTTTTACATTTCCTGATGCTGACAGACCCACGTTCTTTATTCGATCTCCTTTTAGCTGTGGTTTTGTTTCCATCTGCTCCAGGGAGAAAGTGGATTTTTGATTTCTGCCTGCAGGAAACAAGCTTTAGAGAGCAGCAAGCCTCAAGACAGCAAAGAAGCTATAGAGTTTCACAGAACTGGGCCAGAGTTGCATTAGGGGCATGATTCTATGTGGGTTTGCCACCACTAGGAACATATTTTACATCACATCTAATTATTTGTTTCTGATAAAAACAAATGGATTAAAAATATAGCAGTCATCTTAACCTGTAGTTTGCAAAAACGCATAAGCAATGAGACAACCTGATGCCCCTGCGGGTCACTGGTTATGTTCTATCTTTGACCCCCTCCGTCCACTCGAGACCCCTCATATTTATTTTGGGACCACTTTGGGTGTCCCGAACCCTAAGTTGGGAACCGCTGCACAGCACCTCATGAATATTTTTACACTTTGTGCTGCAGGAAGTTTGCACAGACTGTCGTTACTATATCCCAGCATTGTTTCTAAATGTGTTTTATTTAACCCAACAAGCAGCAAACACCTCCACAGTCTACTTACATGGGTTCAGTCAGTGTGCAGGTTCACGCAGAAAGCTCGGCTTCAAACGGTCGCTGAGGTGCTTTGCATCATATATCCGCTGTCGGTGCAGTACGACCACAGTGTTCCTGCCTTGTGTCGCGCAGACATGCAGCTCTCTCCGGTGTGGCTGCTTGAAGCGAGGCTCGCTAATGCAAATGCATGTTTCCTGGGTTGTCTTAGGAACCAGCCTCAGCAGCAGCAGCAGCTCGTTGGTGGATGTAGCTCCACCCACAGAGCAGCAGGGCAGCCTGGAAAAGTCTGAGCTGCTACCAGGAGGACAGAGTGGAGCTGATGCATTTTCACTGTGACTTTTTTCTTTTTCTTTTTTTTTTTTTTTTTGCAGATTAATGCCACTTTATTCACTCAGAGATGCAGCTCTGTGTATATTTGAACCCTTTTAAGGGCCCTTCATGCCCCCAGTCTTTACACTCTTGTCCTCTTGTATACTGCTCTGTGATACTGTATGAAATGGAGTACAGTCCCAGTTGTTTGCGCTGATCAGAAGTATCTAGAAACAGCACAGAGGTGGGAGTGTTTTGAACAATGCTGAGCGCTGGCCCCGAGCATTAACTCCCACTCAGTCAGTGTGGGAAATGAATAGACTGGAACAGACGGCACACAAACACCAGACAAATGGACACTCCGTGGAGAATAGAAGAGAGCTTTAGGTGCTGAAATGGGAAGAGGAACTCAACAGTTTTAGTCCGATTTATTACCAACTACTTTTATGCAGATCATACAAGATCAGCCTATAAGGAGAGCGATGCCACTATCACAGAATGTACATAACTGAAGCTGACACTGCTTTTTTTTTTTACTTTGTCTACAAAGAACGAACCTTAGCCAGGCACCAGCTACAGGGCTGAAGCCAGGCGGTGCCCACAGCCACCACAGGCTGAAGACTGGCCACCAACATAACCAGCAGCCTGGTCTGCTAGAGGGTTAGAACTGGAGCTACATCCACCAACTACTTCTCTGTTTTATGGAACCATTTCTCTGAGCCTGTTTGTCCCATACAGATGCATTTTAACAGCACAGCACCTTTCCACAAAAGTTGAGAGGTCTTGTCAGACTAAGCCTTAAAATCTAAAGATGTTTAGTAAGTGTCCATAAGTTATGTTTATTTCCAGGAGAAGTCTAGATGGCTTATTGTTCATTGAGATAGACATGTAGATGGTCTATAGGAGGTTGTTAGATGTGTCTCGAGAGCTGCTACATTACAGTCGGGTCCTGGAAAGTGGAAATAGTTGAAAGCTGTCTTAAAATTTACTGCGACAAACAATGTGCTGAACATGAAAGGTTCTGTGAAATGCTGAATATTTGCTGTGAAGAGAAGAAGCTCTTTATACCTAGCTCTGGCTCCTTAAAGCTGGCCAAGGAGATAAACTTAGCTAAAGATAATTTGCTCACTTTTTCCTGTTTCTTAGAGATGAAAAATCTATCTGGAATGATTCGACATATATATAGTTTATGTAAACATGTGACATTAAATGAGTAAATTATTTCACTTGCAATGTGATTAAAAACAGTAATGCAGCCTGAGGAAGAATGTATGTAAGCTTTAGACTGAATTTTTTTTCACTATTAAAATGTTTTTTCCCCCCAAAAAACTGTAGAAATGAACACATGTACATAAAGCCTTGTGTTAATATCTAAATGTTTTCTACGTGTTGTGAAATTTCTGTGACTATAATTCAACATAAAAGGCATAAAATTACAGTTTAGACTGTACGTCTATTACTATCGTCACAGTTCTGCTAAGAGCTTCTAATCTTTAAACCCTATTCTCTCTGGTGTTATCAGCAAATACCAGTTGGTAGAGACCAAAACAGGGTTAAAACAGAATTAATAATAAACTTACATTCACAGATTCACAGATACTTGATTCAAACAAAATGCTGATGTTGCTCTGAGTCTGCTGGATGTGTAAATATGCAACTGTTCTGTAACACATCAGCCATAACTACTTCATTAACCCTGAAAAGCCTGAACCATGAAACAATTGCCAGAAAATTCCTTTTTTTTTTTTAAAAAACTCAAGTATTTATTGATACCTTACCTTCTGAAAAATAATAATAATAATAATAATAAATATCAATGTGCATATATGAATTTTAATTTGTATCAGTTTTGCTACGTCCGGCATTTTTGGTGCATGAATTAGGATCTATAGTGGATTATCTGTGCACTGCATGTGTCTGATTTTATACATCAGGTTTTTCATGAAAAAATATATCATACTGATGATGTAGAGGTCTCAAAAACTCATGTATCAAATATTATACAGTTGGCATAACGGGGTTAATATGTCAACACTGTGTTGACAGCTCGTCCTGCTGTTCCTTAGTGGCAAAAATCAGTTAATGCAGCTTTGAGAAAAGAAACCTTAGAAAGCAAACACACACACACACACACACACACACACACACACAATTTTAGATATCAGTGTTGACCATCCGACAGTGTTTAGACAAATTTAAACTGTATTCACATTCATGTTGGAAATTCAGCCTGTTCAGCCACGTTGCTCAAGAGCCAAGGAATATGTGTGACCACATATGGGTGTGTTGTGTTTTTTTAAAGGGTTTGATGAGATTTTTGATAAGAGGCAAAGACTGGCATAGCATACACTATCAGCCCTCTCCTCCCTCAAAGTAAGCCACAGAGATGTGTTTGGTTTGCCGCTCACTCCGAGGCAGAAGGACTCCTACAGACCTCAGCTGGGGTTTCGTTCTGCAGCGTGGAAGCGCTGCAGGTTTGATGTGAGGCTGCCATCTGCCGACGCTGGTGAATCATGAAGCTTCAGTGGTCTGTTTCTAAACCCACTCGCTGATCTGCTGCAGGCCAGGCATTACATAGCATCTAATGCTACAACACTCTCTGGTTCACCATCAGGTAGACTGGTCGCTAGACATGAAACTGGCCTTTTTTTTAATTTAATTTTTTTTTTTAACATCATCAATAAGTGGAGAATATTCTTATATGTAACTCTTCCAGTTAGGCTTGGAGAGACAGACTTTCATTATGGTAGAATGGTGGTACGTACCTAAGTACATTTATTAGAGTGCTATACTTAATTACAACTGTTATACTTCTACCTTAGATATTTTATCTGATGCTACACCCTACTAAATATTTCCATTTAAGATCATGATCTTTGTTTTTTTTTTTCAAAAATTCTATGTTGAAAAAGTCTGTTTTATTTAATAACACTGCCCCGGTGACACCCTTTATTCCCACTTCCTGGGTGTCTTCTCAGGTCTATGCGATGACCTGTGATGTGGTCACAACAGGTGATGAGAGTGGGGTTGTGAGAAAATGCTTTCCATCTAAGTCAGGACTTTTCTTCTAAATCATTTTATTTTGATTAAATTCTAATGTGACATGAACACTACTTTGCAAAACAAAACAAACAAAAAAAAACATGTAGAATAGTACAATAATAACAATTTATCACAGTGGTCAGAGTCCTAACCCTCTGAGCCCAAAAAAGGCCTGTTATCTCATTATCTCACCAAAAATACACCACTTATCGAAGCCAGAAACTGTGGGGAGAAAAAAGCAAACAAAAAAAACTATGTTTGATAGAATACTTCTGAATGCATCTATTTGCAATATTGTATTAATACTACCTTACTTTCATTAGTACACAACACATCCCATGTTCTATTTTGCATTACACTTTTATTTTGCATAATCCCACCAATGCAGTATATACACTTGGTTTTTTTAAGTCCTTTTTTCTTTTTTTCTTTTTTACCCAATTGGCGGCATTTTAATGACTTGCACTTTGTTCTGTGGACTGTGTGTGACTGTATGCAACAAATCCATCTTTAAATCTTGACTCATCAAGTGAGAAAGAAAAGCACGTGTTCAACATTTTTCCAAGACTTTTATTGAGTCTGAAAACAGCATTTTTTCTGGCATAAAACTCTCTAATGAAACCAAGGGAGTAACCAGCAATAGGAAGATTTTCCTGCTTCAGGAAAGAAAAGCTTATGAATAGACAAACCCAGCATTTTTATCAAGGTATAAATCTATGAGGCATTTTGGTGCACAAGACACAGTAAAAGTTATTTCCTTAATAAATATCACAGTTCAAATGTATGGTCTATCAGCGTCTGACAGAGAACCAGCAGCGGCAGATGCAGCAGCACACCTCCATACTGCCACCAGCTGGCTGTCAGCTATAACTACAGCACAGACAGAACCAGGCACAAGGCACAGATTCATTCTATCTGTCAGCAGGCACAGTAACCGCACGCATGATCTGCAGGTTATTGCATAAATGCTAGATTATATTGCAAAGCAGCAGTGCAATGAAGCAAGTCAAGATTTTAAATCTTTTAACATACTGGGCCTCATGCAAGAACCACCCATACCAACAAGTATGTAGTTCAGTGCAGCACACAAGTGGACTGACAGGAATCAGTGGCCTTCTTTGAGCTGTCTCTACAGACCTTTTTCGAAAGAGTCATGAACAGATTTGCATATGATGCCAACATGAAACATACAACTAGTCATAGGCCAGTCTGCTTCCTAAAGATGTTTTAGAGTCTGTTACAGTTTCTGCTCCTTCACCTGCTGCATTTGCTGTGTTGATTTTCTTTGATTTCCAAAACATGACCACTGGAACAGGAAGTTCAGGTTTGTCAATGATTCTAATAATGACATCTCACAAATGCACAACTCCTCATGAACAGATGAGGAGTGTAAAAAGATCAGGCCCAAACAAGCAACGTACAACAAAGTCCAGTTGAGACCTGGAGCGCTTCGATAATCTCAGAGAAAAAAGGCAGAGAGGTTCAGGATAAGGATACAAACATGGTCTTGCATAGGGCCCAGTGTTTTGCTGGGTAAAGGGATCCATACATATACGGATCTTAGTCCATCAGGCACTAACTGAAGAATACTCTTCAAAGAGTCTTTGGTGTAAAATATGAACTGGCAGGTCAGACTGACAGCAGTAAGAAGCTGAAGCACCTTGACTTCTCAGAAAATAAAGCGTCTCTTAAGACTTAAAGGACTGTTGCTTCCTCACTAAATGGGCTGAAACTGACTTAGTGCAACTAGCCCATAAAAGAAACTAATGTACAATCTATGTTATTGTCACTGTTGATTACTAATCAGTGATTAGTTAGTGACAGACAGCTAACCAGTTATTGGTTTGAATGAATGGTGTGAGGCTTGTCAAGGAAGAGGATTTTTTTTGTTCTATGTAAGCAAACTGGTATTCTGCAGCACTCTACAAAACCAGAATTACAAGGTGCTTAACAGGTGAATACAAAGAGATTTTTGAGGCACTGTAAAACATAGAGAAACAAAGCAAACACATATAGAGACTAATCTTTGGCATATACAGCAATTTGTGAACACAGGCAGGGTGCAACTAGCAATTCTTTTCTTAATTAACAGTTCAGTCTAGACAGTGAAAAAACTTCATAACTGCCGACAACTCTTGATGATGTCACTAACAGCTTGTCTTGTCTCACATACAGTCAAAACCACAAACTATTTGATATACCTTAATATAAGATAAAGAAAAGCAGCAAATTCTGCGATCTGGACATGAAACTACACATTTTGTCAATTTTTGTTTTCTTGAACACTGACGAATTGTTGCAGCTCTAAACAAGATTGAACTTGTCTGGCGTCCTGACTGATGCTTCGCTGTCAGCGGTCACTGGTCAGCAGTGTCTCATCTGATCAGGTTGTTGGAGGTCCTCTGCTCTCTAATCTTACTGACTGAGTGGAGTACGCTTGGGGATTTTAGCCACACAAAAACAGTTGAAGCTGTTACCTTGAACTCTGGCAAACTGATCAATTGGCCAGTTTTAACCCTTATTTATTTTTGGGATTTGTCATTTTTTATTCATTGTTCAGTCTACTTAAAGTGTATTATTTTGGACAGAGGAATTTATCATAAATCATCCACTTCTCATTTCTGAACAGGTTTTCTGTATGTTTTGTACACAACTTAAATAAATCATCAGTTAGAAAGTTTAGGGTTTCACCTTTCAATTATTTTAATTATAAATCAATCTGCACATTATGTTTTCAATGAAATTATTCTTTGACTACAAAATAGCAGTAAAGAGAAGTTTACTGTAGTATTAGTTCCACATCTACAAGTGACATATTCAGACTTTTAGTTTGATCAAAAGACGAAAAATCAAAAAGATTCAGTTTAGTGTCTCACATAACAAAACCATATCAAATTATCACATTTCAGAAAGTGGATCCATCAAATATTTGAGATCTTTGCTTTAAAAATTACTTAATGGTTCACAGGTGGTAATGTCAGAAATGAGTGAAACATGCCCATTTCAAAGTGACAGCTTCAAATGACTTTTTATCTGACCAGCAGTCTGATTAGTGGCTAAAATCTGTCGAACCCCAGTTTCATCAGTAACATAAGACATTAGAAATAAATGTTTTGTTCAAAATCGTGTTTCAGTTCAATTCTCACTGTGTGATAGATTTAAATATAAAGCATTACAGCAGGGCACACAACCAAAAGAGTGACTGCCCCTCATGAGGCACAGGATGAATAGATAAACGTGACTAAATGATTACTGGATTATCAAAACAGTCAGCTGAGATCTTTCTGTTGATCAACTATTTGAGTGACTGACTAATGACTGCACCTCTAAAAATGACCTGATTTCAGTAGATCTGCCCTCTCCAACCATTCAACACTTGTCTTTGGTCCTCACTCTCATGGCTGTGGTTCTAATGGCTTTCTTTCCTTTACAGAAGGCTGCTGTTTTCGTCAGATCTGCATGTGGAGCACCTGTATACAGCAGTCAGCAGCTGCCGTGGCCTTTGGAGAAGTCGTGCCAAGCCTGCAGCAGCTCTGACGGCTTGAACCCGTTGATGATGACCAGCCTGCTGAAGATGCACCTGTCGTACTGCAGGCTGCGGATCTCGAACAGGTTCCTGAAGGAGGGCAGGCTGTAGGAGTAGACCGGCCGGACCCCCAGCACCCGCAGACACAAGCCCACATACACGTCCTCCAGCGGGATGAGCCGGACGAACCTGGAGGCCCAGGAGATCCTCGCTGCCATGTCAGCGGAGAACACATAGCCGGCCCCGGACACGTACGGAGGGAAGCTGTCCTCGGGGTACAGTTCCTCTGACAGATACCACTTGCTGCTGGGGTCCCTCCTCGGCCTGCCGTCTCGGATGACCGAGCCGGTGATGAAGCCCTGCCGGGGGGAGCCCCTCAGCCGGCCCAGCAGCTGGAACACGTTGACAAAGATGTCTGCGTCCACCTTCATGGCGTAGGAGGCGTGGGGGCAGTGGGTGGCCAGCCACTTCATCATCAGCACGGTCTTGATGGTCAGGTTGTGGTAACTATCCACGAAGTTGATCTGGATGATGTCCGCATGCTGCCTGCTCTCCTCCTCCAGCTCCTTCTGGGCCGCTGCCCCCCGGCCCCCCTCTGGGAGCCCCGTGAAGAACAGAGTGAGGCTCCCCGGACCGGAGCCGCCCCATGTCCCCCTGACGGCCTCCCGCGCTGCAGCCTCCTGAGGGCCGACCGGGACCAGGAACACCAGGAAGGGGCTTCTGTCCTGGCACACAGCGGGCTGGTTGAGCAGGTAGTGGTACGTGTCCGGGGAAATGAGCCGATACTCCCCGGCTGAGAGCGTGGGCGGTAACTCCGTGTGTTTGCTGACCGAGCTGAGCAGGAGGTGAGCGGACAGGACGAGCACAGCTGAAGCGACGAGGAACTTCACTAACCTCCAACAAAAAGTTCTCCGCATCGCCTCAGCTGTCGGGCTCCGCTAGTCCTCCACCATGGCTAGTCCTGTGCAACACGGAACGGGACAAATATATCCCGTCGGCCACTCCCAGCAGGGGAACCAGGAAACACATATCTGCCCAAGAGGGCGAGCAGCGGGACCCGAGTGGACCCGAGCGGCCGAGGATCACCGAGAGACAGAGATGCTTCTGATTGGTGGATGTCAGACAGGTTTGTGACAGGAGGCGGGGCTTCAGAACCCTCAGCAGCAGAACTACAGTTATCAGTACAGCCACCTGGAGTTATCCATACCTGATGACTTATCAATAGTAAATTGATAATAAGTAATATAATAACTAAAAATAATATAAATATGACAATGATTTTATAATTTTTGTGTATTTGACTAAGGTTCCTTGTCATACAATAAATCAGGTAACATGATGCATTATAACGTGCAAAGGAAACTCTACTGCATATCCACCAAGGAAGACCATGAGATGTGGCTGGAAGCTGTAGAACATCTAGAAAGTGGAACTTGAGCGAAGAAACAACTCGTGAAAATCATACTTTTAAACAAACTGTTTTATTGTAATACAGTTTACAGAGAAACACCTGTTTTTCACCCAGTTATAAACAAACAAAACAATAAAAACAAACTTAATTTACACAGGCATTCTTTAGAAGGTCAGTGGTTTAGTATCCTGCTGTAGCAGAAGGGGGAGGGAGGGTACGGGGCTTGTGGGTCTTGGGGAGGGGGAGGGGAGGGGAAGGTAGAAACAGTAACTAGTTCTCTAGTTTTGGCCTGTCCAAACACTATTTTCATCAACATAAGCATAGAGACCTTACTATGACAACTGGAATTCAATTGGAGTTGGCCTTTTTTCAATGTTTCGAGCATCACATAACATTCTCTTGTTGCACATATATGTACTGTATTCACATTTTTCAAAAAGTAAGAACAAAAAATGTAATCACCGCATGTCATTATACACTGAATAATAGGTCCTGCCTCGGATTCATGTGAGAAACAAAACAAAATTTCTTTTCTCTGTTCTTTAGCTTTTTCAAACACAATACTGTGGCTGCAGCATGACGCCTTCAAGGGCTCACGTCATAAATGGAAACATCGCCAATGGACATGGGATGTGGAGGGTAAAATACTTTTTCATAGATTTTTTATTTTTCTCTTTTCATTTCCATCTCTATCATTTCAGATGTTGGCTCATGTGTAGGGGTGGGAGGGGGTTTGAAATAAAGTGACACTGAGACAAGTTAAGTCGCACAAAGACAGACAAATGGCAAGTTAGACGGAGATATCTGACATCTGAGCAGTGCCATCTGAGGAGTATCTCTTTTCAAATGTTTCAATCAGATGAGTGCTTGTACAGTGTTGTACAACCAATAGAATTTCTCTGAGAACCCAGCTGAAATATCGCTTTTAGCAAAGAGGCCCTGATCCTAAACAAGACCACATTGTACCATAAACAGCCTGTCTTTTCTGTAAAACCCCAAACATAGTGTAAATGTGAAATAGGGAACTGTACTAATGACTGTACACAACATAATGCCTGAGCTGCACTCACGCCTCCCCACAAATGCTGCAACACAAGAGACGGGATCAGAATCAAGTGAGATGGAGTTGCTCTCTTTGGTGCGTGAGCAGAATCTGTGTGGGCTTTGATTTAAGTCCAGTTTTTAGCATGCACATCGATTTCCGCACTGGCAGCATTTGCACAACCGTATCACAGGGGAAGCAAGGGGTAGGGGAGAGGTTCATGGAGTCGAGGCTGATCTTTGAGCAAATTGGATGAGGGGAGGCGCGCTGATTTTGCGTGGAGGCAGCAGGGCTCTTGGCAGTGGCTTTGGTCGCTGCAAGGTGGGTGGGTGTGGGAGTTGAGGTGGTTTATGGGGAGTCCAGACAGAATAGTAGCAGTAATGTTGTTGTTGTTGTTGTTTCTGATGGTGGCGGAACTTTCCATATCATTTATGATCGTTTCCTCCTTCCCTCCAGGTTTCTGAAGTTGGATGGCCGGATCTTCATCTCAGCGAACTCAATCGAGTGCTCGTGGCCCTTCCAGTGGAACCAGTTCACGCCCTGCAGAGGTGGACGAGGACAAGAGTTGGAAGTCAGAATAGAGTGTGAAGGAGAAATCCACAGCCATGTTCTTGTCACAGATTCATCTTACATCAACAAGAGACAACAAGAGTTATTATTAAAACCCCACATTATTTGACTTATAACAGTCTCTACACATGGCAACTACATTATAGTTAAAGTTGAGGAAAATCCTCCAGTTATAGCAAATAAATTATGTTTTAGGTGGTTGCGATGTACTCCCAGCCAGTAGAGGTGGTAGGCATCAGAAACTCAGGAAAAACACATGAGGAATCTCTGCAGCCCTGACATGTAGTTTTATTTTTTTAAATCCAAACAACAGCTATGACATATATGGCAATCCCTTACCAATCCCTTAATGCACATACACAGTCCAGCTTTAGAGTCAAGCAAATATAAGAATTTGGTTATAAAAAGGCTAAGTGCACCTCTGTGAATGTCAATGTCCTGCATGAAATCAGGACGCTACGGTTCTTTCTTCACTCTCAACCACTGCACCATTTACATTCCACCTCACTGCAAAGGCCACATAGCTTCCTGCTTTTGCCCTGAGTGATGTATTTTGCCCCAAGGACCCTTAATGGAATTAGTTTTTATTGGTAGTTTTGATTTTGTTTTGAATGCTTCAGGAATCCTGGAGTACCCTCGTCCCACACACTGATGTAACTCCATCAAGGAGTGACCCTAAAGCCTTTCATTTGTCTGTCATAGTTGACTGTACTGTGAGTTGTGGTGGACTGAACAATACTATACCTTGCTGTGACTGTTATCTCCATATCGTCCCATCAGGTTGACCCGGTGGCAGTTTTTATACCAGAAGGCTCCCTTATAGGACAGAGCACAGTTGGTGACGGCGATGTCGTTGTCATGGTCATAAGTGGAGAATGGACGACCATGGTGGTAGGTCATAGAGTCACCTGCAAAGACACAGTAGAGACAGAGTGGACAATTTCACAACTGATGGAGACCAAAATTACAGCATAAGATATACAGTTTTCTGTTGTTGTACGTTTATACAGATTCTGATTCAGACTATATTTGTTTTCAGTTTATTTTTATTGTGTGGTGAAAAATGTGTTGGTCTTCTCCCATAGTTTCATAAAATCTAAATAGGATGATTATATTTCCAACTAAATTTGATACAACTAACCTTAACCCTAACTAAAAAATAGAGCTACGACAGTGCAATAATATTAAAACAGCTTAGTAACTGCAAATACTGAGCAGTGTGGCCTCAGTTAACTAATCTACTTTCTTATGCTGAGGCAATAGGACAAGCACACAGTGCACCATGAGCATGAATCCAGTCTGAATCCCTTGAAGCAAAATGCATATCAAGAGTCTAAGTTCCTTCTCACCAGACAAAGCTACAACAGTGATGTTATGGCTATATCCTGAGAGATTGTGACACGATTCTGGCAAAGTGTCAGCACCCAGTCTCGGGCCAATATTGGTTAGGTCTACCATTTTGGTCGGGGTGATTGCAGCTCAGTATTGGTAGCCAGACTCGGGCCAGTGTACTCAGGCTGATTCTGGGGAGTCATTCACACTTGTTTCACAAGAGTCTGGCAGCCATACTCATTCTGAGTTAAATCTTCTGGCTTGTCAAATTCTGGCCAGTATTAGGCCAAACCATTGTGGCTGGCTGGGTATACTGTATGTCTGTCCAACAATAACCTTTTGTGTATAGATTTTGTTCTACAAAATGGTTATGTGTAGTTTTAGAGGGTGGGGTCTAATGTCATTGTGCGATATATGTTGGCAACCTTTTCATTAATATTGTTTAGCTTAATGCAGCAATGAAAGCGAAGACCTCTACACATTTGGAAAAGGATATCTGGTGAATGAGACAGATTTTTTCATGTATATGTAGAACTGCTTTCTTAGGTCTAAAGTGACTTTTTTAGTCATTTTAGCAGTGCATCAGTCCACTCAGATGAAGTGTTCCTGTCTTGTAGTCAATACTGAAAAGAACTAACCCTGAAAAGTCAAATAAAGCACCTACTCACTGCTTGTTCATTCCCCCATTCGTTTAAGTAGTATTGATCTGACTGATGATGTTTGTTTTCTTGAGGAACGAGAACTGGGAACTAACAAGTAGTAATATTTGTTTGTGTTTATGTGCAAATAATAACTGAAAATAAACTGCAAACAATGTATGAGTTGTGTGTGTGAATCATGGAGATTGTCTTAAAGTACCAATAATGCATCACTAAAAGCACAAATCCATTTTTGTCCAAAAACAATGAAAACCAACACAGCACTTTATTTTGATGTGTCAAAATAACATCCTGCTGCCACAAATAACAACTGGAGCAGCAAATGTGGATTAAGTTACTGCTAAAAAAAAGTCCCCATCAAATGCACTTGTATGAGTAAACTATATATGGAACTATACTCCTGAACTGATTTCTAAATATTTAGATGCTGTGTTTTCAGAGGGAACTAGCGAGCTTGTAGCTGAGTTAAGTCAAACAGTATTAAAAGATATTTTTAAAGTAATGTACATGCTGTAGGCTACAGACATCAGTCAGATCTACCTGCTGTGCCGCTGTATCCTCCTACATGGACTTTGTAGCGGGTCCGAGGTTCAGAGACGGAGAACTTGTCGTACTGAGCGTAGGCAGTCTCTCCCTTATCTCTGAGGTCGACTCGCAGCTCGTACTGACCTCCGGCTGTGATCTTATGCAGGTTGGACAGACCTGAGTGAAAGGGGAGATATCTTAGCTGGACAAACAGCACTGATAACGACTCTGATGATTGTGGTTTTCAGAAGATGGTATACACATAGAATTCCTTATTTTACACTTTTATAACAAAAACATTTAGGAATAAAAAGACTAAAAAAGCTTCAGTTTTATCCTGTTACTCAGTAGGTTTAATGGTTCATGCCATGCTTCATGTCTGCCACAAAATACTTTAAAATCACCTCTGAAACGGAATTAATTAAACCATTACAGAAAAATGTGGAATCAGTTCAAAAAATTAAGTTCAATCAGCAGAGCTTTGTGGACACATTTTGCAATGAATTTGTAATCATAAAATACATAACACCAATGAATGACACAAAAATGCTGAATGCTATTCATTTTGCATAAAGAACCCTAACTACGAGCTGAACATAGTGATATATGACCAAGTCCTTGTGTGTTGTAGAATATTGGGGTCTGTTAGAATTTACCGAGCCAGAATTCATCATTCATGTCACCAAAGCCGGCTGTGTAATTCTTCCAGTTGCGGAAAAATTCCAGTCTGCCACTCTGACGTCGGAGGAAAACCTGCAGAGAAAAAACAAAAGAACAATAGATAAATAGTTTTTCATAATAAGCTTCATATGAGTTTCCAAAACAAAATGAGAAGCCAAAATCAAAACTAAATTGGTATGGAGAGGCACAGAAGAAAAAGAACTGACTCTTAATGTCCATATTCTCTGTAACTTCTCTATGAACTCATTCTCTACTTGTTTCTTTCTAACTCACATCACGTCCATTTGTTGTCTGTGTTCATGTGGCTACAACAGAACAAGCTACAAACTTAACAGTGACAGTAATTTTTAAGATGTTATGGTGTTGTGTATAAGCACAACCAGACAGCAGACACAGAGCAATATTTAATTTCTAGACATGGTGCTTCCGGCCATCCAGATACCTGTCACTTTTGCAGCCACATGCTGTATCATGTTTACTTCCTTCGAAAAGTCAGCCAAGCTTTGTCTGACTGTAGTTGAGGCTGGTCAGGTGGTAGGAACAGTGCTTTTTTATTCTTTTCTGAAAACTGCTGATTGCTGTGAATGTAAGTGAGATTCACAGGAGTTGTGAAACTTAATCCAAACAGTAAAACTTGGGGCTCTTAAACCAAAACATCTGAGTTGAACAAAGCAAAAATAGCTTTCTATTGAGGCTATCTCTGTGCTTTGGTCCATTCAGTTTTCCCTCAACTCTGATCAGTGTCTCTGTTCCTGCTACTTAAAAACGTCGGCACAGCATGATGCTGCCACCACCATGCCACTGGACTAATACACTGGGTAGGTGATGAGTGGTGCATCCAGATAAAATACTTTGTGGCCAAATAGTTCATTTTTGGCATCATCAGACCAGAGAATCTTGTTTCTCACAGTGTTTTAGGTGCTTTTTTTGCCAACTCCAAGCAGACTGCTCTGTCTTTAACTGAGAAGAGACTTCTGTCCAGCCACTGTGTCACAAAGCCAAGATCAGTGGAGTGCTGCAGACATGGACGTCCCTCTGGAAGTCACATCTCCACACAGGATCTTTGGAGACTGAGTGGCCATCAGGTTCTTGCTTCCCCGTTTTACCAAAACCTTCCTCAACGATTGTTGAGTTTGTCTGGCTGGCAACTTTAGAATGGGTCCTGATATACACAGGACTGTGGCTTTCCATATCATATACAATCAACTGATTAACTCTATCCGGACTCCAATTAAGGTTGTTAAATATCTCACACATGACCGAGTGAAATCTGACGCACCTCAGCTAAAGTTTAAGTGTCATGACTAAGGGGCTGAATAGTTATTTCAATGTGATATTTCAGTTTTTCTACCTGAGCACCTTTACATCATTTCTAAAATTCTGTTTTCACTTTGTCATTATGGGGTATTGAGTGAAGACTGATGAGGGATAATTAGTTTAAATGATTTTGTTTTAGGCTGGAGCATAACAAAATGTAAAAAAGTGAGTACTTTCTGAATGCACTGTACGCTGTATGGGTCTACGGGAACCAGTAACTTACAATCCATCCGCCTCCATCAGTGCTCATGTCGCAGTAGACCTGCAGTGGCTGGCTCTCATCTCCACCCAGGTAGACGGTGTACAGGCCTGATGAGGTGTCGCCATTCAGCAGAGCCTGGGAGCAGTCCCTGGGGTGTCTGTACAGCACGCCGGCTACACACACACACACACACACACACACAAATTGATGATAAAGCAAACCAGACACAGTGACTGGTCTTGTTTGTCATACTGAGATATCTGTCCATTTTTTTTAGCTTGAACTGACAAGACTTACTAGAGGATTTCACTACAGATCAGTTACCTTGAAATAAACCTAAGAACAGAGTGCTTCTGGTACTTCATGAGAATATTTATGTTTTATGGAAAAATAAAGATGAGCAGGAAAAATAATTTTTAACAGAAAGAAGCTTGTATAATGTATTAAGTATTCATGTCTTGTTTTGAGATATTCAGGTCTTAATTTGAAGAAGAATCCCTAAACTGGGCTGAATTAGAAGACAAATATTATACCTTTAGCCTTTTAATTATGAAACAGCATGCCAATAATGTCATGTTTTAAGAAAAAATCTTATTTCAGTAACTGAAGAATGTTATTTATGGTCACAGTTTAGAATTTAATAAAGTAAAAATTATAAATAATTGAGTTTCAAGAACCTTTAATGTAAAGTGCTGAAAATCCCTTGTGCTGCTTTACTGACTAAAAACTGAGGGTATGTTGTTAAAATAATTTTTGTTGTTGTGACTACATTTTTTTTATGTCAGTTTCAAGGAAACTAGTTTTGTTTGGCTTGAATTTGGCAAAATTCACAAGGACAAGGGATAGTGGACTGGGTACAAAACCTGTACACTACAAAACATTTCTTTATATCTTTGGCTAAGCTAGAACTCTGTTTCCAAACTGAGGGACATTAATGCTGCCATAGCCATCCGTTAGTCAGAAATCAGCACAATGCTTTGATACTACTGACACACAGAACAGCAGAGGTGAAATCTCTCCTTGTGTGTATGAATGCACTCACTGGTGGTGAAGACAGTGGTGATGACTCTGCTTCTCTTAGGACCAGCGAGGGCCTGCAGCTTGATCGAATACTCTGTGGAGGCTCTGAGCTGAGCCATGTTGTACGACACTGCAGTGGGACTCAGGATCACCTCCTGAGGGGAGAAACACATTCGCACATTTTATTCACAAACAAATTCTACAGATCAGTCATTACGTCAGCATTGGCCTTCAGAAAGCGGCATCAGTGGAGTCGTGGTATCTACTGACCCGTGGGGTGCCTTTTACAGGCTCAAAGCTGAGGATGTAGCCGGTGATGTCAGCGCGAGGAGGCTTCCAGGTCAGCATGGCGTTCTCTGTCTGGATGTTACTGGCTGCCAGGTCCTGAGGAGCATCCACATCTGAAAACACAGCAGCGGATTAAAGACAGTCATTGTCTATTATACCACTGTAACTTTGCTGTTGGCTGCTCCTTGTCTCAGCTGTTTCAGCTTCTTTTTCTGATGTCATTTATGTTTTATTATTTCTATATGACTTTACTGCAGCCTCTCTGCAGCTGTGGAGATTCTGGCATGTGCAGCTGACATGTGAATCAAGTTGCTCTTTAACCACAACTAGTACATTCTGTCTCTGTATATCCTTTAAATGCAGCTCTAAAATCATTTGAGCAACTTAAAAGCTTCAAACATATGGAATTAAAAGTTTATAGGTGTTGCTGTCGTTTCGTAATTTCTAAAAGCATCTTTCAACTCACGTTTTAGTTACTGAAACCAATATGAACCTCAAATCTGGTACACTGATTAATGGTGCATTTAACATTTTAAATCAATTTAAGGGATTAATCATGGTTCAGAGATTTACAGGAGATGTTACCAAGCACTAAAATTAGGTTTGTAAAACCATATGGGGATTTTTAACAAGGATTTTTAGTTTAGTTTGACCCAGTCAAGCTAACAATTCAGATCTCAGAAAGGAAACAGACCGGTGGTAAACTCAGTTGTAGTGGCTGCGCTTTTGGCCAAATCCCTCACAGCATAGACCTTCACAGTGTAGTGTGTCGCTGGTGTCAAAGAGCTCATCTCAAACTCCACCACGTTTCCTGACACTCGCTCCATCACTGGAGCCACTGGGAGACACAGACAGACATAAGTTAGCAAAGCAAGAACAAACATGCACAATAAATACGGGTGGAGGAAGCCTTTACTTAGGTTTAAGCATCACAATGCAGAGATTCTCCATTACAAGCAAAAGTAAAGAAAAATTCAACTTAAATACAAAAGTAGTATCAGCTAAATGGACTTTGCATAAAAGCAATTCCTGTAGCACATATATTATTATAATAATCTCAAAAGCAGCTACAGTTGTCAGGTAAATGTATTAAAGTGGAAAAATACAATACTTTGTTATACAATGCTGTGATTCAGTTTAGTAGAGATAGAAAAGCAAAGAAGAAAATAGAAATAGGTACAGTCCTTGAGTAAATGTACTTAGTTATATTCCACTACTGAGGGACAGAGGTTGTATGAGAGAGACATATATAAGCTTTTTTTAAAAACTGAACATTTGAATATCTGTTATATTTTCTCACAGTGATATGAGGGTCCTTTATTTGGCAGTTTTGTTTTATAGAAAGCAATTCACATTCAACTAAACCATTATTTGCCAGGGTTTGGATCATGATGTAACAGTGTACAACTGTGCAATAACAAGGGACCAGTAAAAACTTGGAACCAACCGTTGTTAGTAAAACAACATTCCCTTGGGGAATGATGTACAGTACATGTGTTTAACCATAAAACCATATACTGTGTGTGCGTTACTGTGTGCATGCATGTGTACATACCTGAATCTGCAGTGTAGGTGATGACGTAGCCGTCTACAGTAGCAATAGCAGGCTGCCAGAGCAGCAAAGCTTCAGTGTCTGTGATGTTGACTGCAGTAAGACCACGAGGCTTGTCCAGAGCTATAACACACACAGACACTCAGTCAGCCTGATTAACATGAACTCAGGTCTGACCACACGTGTAGTTACTGTGTTTGGATTTGTAGGGCAGCATACTAATATAGATCCCTGTTGATATGTTTTAATAGAGAAAAAAAGATTTCTTTTAAAAGTCACAAGACGTCTCTACCTTTCAGCACACGCTGCCACTTGAGCACATTTGAACCTTTTTCATTGATTTACATTAGTTAATGAGCTGTGTTTGCACATTTAGGAGCTTTTTTTTTTCATTTGCTATGATGCAGATAACACAGTCAGTGTATTATCTGCACGGTATCTAAACACTGCTGGGACTGTAAACAGCAGCTGTATTAGCAATCCTCACAGTACAACAAAAACTGACAAATCCAGTAAAAAAAAAAATAAAAAAACACATTCTGATAGCGGGCTTTAACATAATGAATGTGTGTGCTACAGTCAGCAGCAGAGGCAGGTTTATAGAAGTAGCCAGGCTGAGACCATTACTCACACTGGGGTGGCACAATGTCTCATTATTTTTAAAAAATAATAACAAAAAAGTGTTAAAGAAATGGCTCCACTGAAAGTTCTGCCAACCCCCTCCAAAAAAAAAAAAAAAAATAAAATAAAAATAAAATGCAGTTACTGGATGTAACTCCAGTTCTATGTGTGAGTAACTGTAATGGGCTTCATGGCTGGTTGTGTGATTTGAGCAGTGGGTCAGCCCATCCCCTTGGCTCCATTAAAGTGCAGGTTACCTGTGGTGACGCTGTCAGATCCAGGTTCGCTCTCTCTCTGGCCCTTAACAGCGACAACAGTGACCTCATAAGTGACTCCGGGCGTCAGGTTGGGCAGCACAGTCTGAGACTCAGAGCCGTCCACTGTTAGTGTCTTAGCATTACCTGTGAGTTGAAACAGCCCAAATCATTTGGGTGAATGAAGTTAAGGGGTTAAATCTAATTCAGTACATGTTATACATGTCCATTACAGTTGACTAAGAGAGTACCAATATTTTAAATCTAATAATGAATCTTCCCACTGATGTTTATTTAAATCATTTCTGTGTGTCACCTGCACATGATTGCAGTGTGTTTATTAAATCTAGTCATTCAGTCATCACAGACATCATGGAAGTTCTGTCTCTGTGTTTGTATTTTATTTTACAGATATTTCAAGGCCAATCAGGGTTCTGACAGTCTCTAAGCAGAGTTTCATGAAACCCACAGAGCAGACATGTTGGTCGCCATCAGAACAAACGTCTCAGCTGACACATAGCACTCAATAGAGGTTGAATAGAACACAATGGGGATGCATCTAACATTTAGAATACATATGGATTCAACACCTGACTGCCTCTTTTGTGTCGTTCTTCTCTTTTTAAAATTATTATCCTTTGTGAGTTTTGCCCCACCTAGGCTTCTTTCT